GTTGTCCTTAAGTAGATTTCTAAGAAATCCCTACGTGGGATTCATCAACGCACTCGTAAGCCGCTGAATTGTTCGCAGCTGTTCTCTCAGATTGATGAATCCCATTTCCTCGTAAGTACAGCGCGCGTGCCAGGTGCTTCATTAGCATAGGTACTTAGCATAAGTAACCGCCCATTAATGCCCATATAAGGGGATGCAGGGCCGTGTGCAGACGGCTGAGGAAACAGCAACAGGCCTAAAGCAGGCCTTTTTTCTTCTTTTACCAGACTGAGAATAAAGTTATAAAATGTTGACTTAAAAGTCGAAATATTATGATAATAAAGTCGAACTAGCAAAATTATGAGATTAATCTAAGAATATGATGAGATTAATCTCAAAATGTTATGCTTAATTTAAAAATATATTATGTATTATTTTAAAGATGAATCTCAAAATGTTTTGAGATTAATCTCAAAATATTTTGGACCCTGGGAGGAGATCCAGCGCGGACCAGCGCTGAGACCAATGCAGACCCGAGGAGAGACTGGAGTGACCAGCACACAGAAACCAGCGCGGACCTATAGGAGAGACCGCATAGACTGTAGTGACCTGACTGGAGAGACCGGTGCGCAGAGACCAGCGCGGACCGAAGATAGACCGCATAGACCAGACTTGAGAGACCAGCGCGGACCCGTATGGATCCAGGAGCATGCAGCACGGACCCGTATGGAGAGAGACCAGTGCAGACCCGTATATGGGAGAGACCAGTGCAGACCCGTATAGATCCATGGGAGAGACCAGTGCAGACCTGTCTAGATCCATGGGAGAGACCAGTGCAGACCAGTATAGATCCATGGGAGAGACCAGTGCAGACCAGTATAGATCCATGGGAGAGACCAGTGCAGACCCGTATATGGGAGAGACCAGTGCAGACCTGTCTAGATCCATGGGAGAGACCAGTGCAGACCAGTATAGATCCATGGGAGAGACCAGTGCAGACCCGTATAGATCCATGGGAGAGACCAGTGCAGACCAGTATAGATCCATGGGAGAGACCAGCGCAGACCCGTATAGATCCATAGGAGAGACCAGCGCAGAGACTCAGCGCGGACCCAGTAACCTCCTGGAGCAGCAGTATATATGCCGTTGTTCTGTGGCCCGTGGATAAAGAAATGCCCCCTATAAATAGGAAGGGGTCACTAATACACGGCAAGATTTCCAATGTATTTGATAAAGCGTTGGCACAATTCATTTCAAAATGAATTAAAAAGTAGGCCAGATCTGCAGTGAAAAAGGCGGTATATAAATAAAGATTACTAATAAAGATTACTACAAATAAATAAATACATACATCGATATGACGGACATATCACTGGAATGTTGTATTTTTATTCAACTTCACCAAAGAGGACAACCCCGGCGTGTGAACATGTCGGCACTGAATGCGTACGAGTGCTCCTGAGGACTCGTAGGATTTGTACTTGCCCAAGAGAAATTCTGGTTACGAGAAAAATTCGTGAATGCCACTTTCTTCGTAAAAACCGCGTAAGTAGGATTTACGTACAAATCTGTTCCTAAGAACCGTTCGTGAATGAGGCCCAATGTTTCTGAAGCCAAATTCTAGCCGGGGGACTTTGCTTTTTGGTTTAAAGATGTGGGGGATTAGCTGGTGAATCACACAGCCATTTTTAGATGAGTGAAGAGATGGAATGACTCAGATTGACAATGCCTTTTATATAACGCAGCAGTGGTTTCATGCAGAGCGCAGGAAGCTCGGTGGTTATGGGATGGCAATCATAAGCGTCCATGTTGTGTCTGTGTCTGTGGATTTGTCACTTGCACCAGAGCCTCAGCTGGTACAATGGAGAACCGTCTACTTACAGTGCTGATGCAACGGCGACACATACTGGGTTTGTGTTTTGAAAGAGATTACAATAAGAAGTAAATGGACTTAAATCAGAGAGGTTTTGGTCAAATATGTGATGCCAAAAGTGTGAAAAACATATCCAGGCAATGCAGCTAAAAATGTCTTTGTTTTGATATGAATATGATGAAATTTGCACAGAATGACAAAAAATTAGTGTATCTTTCTGAAATGATTTTGTTGCCACGCTGTTATTCTATGGAAAATATACATATGTGCATTTTAAACACTGTTATTATCAAACTGTCTGAACTTTAACTCTACCTCTGGTTTCTCTTAAGCTTTGGACTCAAATATACAGTACCTCTTTGGAGCATCTCACTTGGTTTTAGGTTCTTTACCATTTGGAAAAGGCCTAAAATACAAACAAAATACTAAGTGTTAAAAAGATGAAAACAAAAACATAAAAGAAAATTGTTTGAGTTTGTGTATTATATTTTACAAAATCCAAAAAAAGAAAAAAATGCATAGCTTTTTTAAAGGAATGTTAGCTTATTTTTTTTTTTTTTTTTTTTTTTTTACAAAATGGATGTGAAACAGCCAAATGGCCCTAATATATCCCACAAAAAACATTAGCGTCGACTGCACATTACAACGAGCCGTATATCTGTAATTTTAGGTAGAACATATCTGTTTTGCTGTGCACTGTTCCTCTCTAAACTAAACTAAACTAATCTAAACTAAATAATGAACACTGACTAAATAAAATGAATAGAATGAATGCAAAAAAACATTTATCTTTAATCGATGAAAGATGAATCCGGATCCGGTCTCTGTATAGAAAGTTGGCTGCAGGAGCTCATCGAGATTTCCATCAAAGATCAAACTATGCAGCGTTGATTCTCTAAAACTTTATAGATTCTCTAAAACTATAAAGATTGAATCTTGAACGTTTTAATCTCCTTCTTTGGTGCCGAGGTGCTTTCTCCTGAAGCTTTGAAAGAGATCAGAGATTATTTAGAATTGTTTGAGCAGAGCAAAAACAATGGTTATGAATTGTGAAGTCAGACAGAAAGAATCCTCTACTTTTATATGAACAATAACTAAATAATACCAGTAGTTTAAAGCCATACTGAAAACAAAAATGTGGGCAAATAAATCAAATGTCCGCTGAGACGAACAGGTGGCACATCCCCCCCACAACGGTTACACCTTGCCTCTACACATTCCGTTCCCGGCCCAGCAGCTGTCCTTTCCTGCTTTCACTTTTACGGTCGGTCCCTGAACAACAGCAATTCCCCGTCTCTCATTCAACTTAAATGCTTTGTCAATAATAGCCCTCTTTGTTTTACTTTACAATATTGACGTCTTTTAAAGGGCTTTTTGTGTCCCCAGACGTAATAATTACAAACACAGCCTCTTGCCTTGTGAGACTTGTCGAACTCTATACAAACAGAAATTATTGCATTTTTTCCCAGCAGTTTTAAGCTCACTATTTGGTTCATCGTCTTTCACTTCTGCTTCTTCGGTTTTTCTCATTTGCAATTTATTTTTGACCTCTATATTGATCGAAAAAACTCTTTGAAGCTTCCATTGAATCCCTAAAACACGGCTTCTCCAGTGAGCAGCATCTTGGTTGGTTCTGATTGTTGTTTTAGAGTCCGTGGGCCCAGTATTCAACAATCCAACGAGTCAGCACTTGGTGAGAAACAGAAGAACAGAAAGCAGATAACGGGGAAATCCTGAGCAGCGAGTGATGGAGGAACTGGTCTGATTGCACAACGTGAAGTCTGATCAGGCAGTTCTTTTGTTCGTTCACTTCTAGTTTGCTGGAGTCAAAATCTGAATTGAATCTGAAACTAAATTTTAAATGAGACAATTTTCTTAGGATTGAGGAGAAAATTGCACGTGTCAAATTATGCTTTAGGAATTAAAAACAACATCATTCAAGCATTTATATCTTTTTCTCTCTTTTTACAGTGAATTGTATCTTTTGTGAAGTATTCAACACACTTTTGTACGAAATTTTTAAAACAAATTGTACAATTCCCAACTCCTAATCTTATCCACTCTCAGTCTAACAAAGTACATTACATTTACAATCCGACTTTTTGTGCCAGAATATTCTAGTCTATGACTCTCCTAAGCACTGATTACTGATCCACCTGCTGTGGTTTAGATAGAGCTGGTATAAACTTTGAATTATGCATGATTATCAATCTACTTAATCTTTATCTACTTTCATTAAAAGAAAAATTAAATCATTACATCCAGCCCCTTTAGAATTATTGTCGTCGGCGTGCCCTTAGATAACCGCCTGATCAAATATTATAATATATAATATCGAGTATGCGTAATTATAAGCAATAGGCTATATATAATACTGCAAAAATTGATCAAATATGAGATCATAATTGCTAGAATCGAGTTTTTTTTACTTGACTTAAGTTCATTCTGACTGTCTTAAAATGAGATTTGCCAATGAGACAAGCAATTTTGACTTGATTCAAGAACTATTGCTTTATTTTCTCATTCCAAGAGAAAAATATCTTGTATCTTTTTAAAACAAGACAATTTTTCTTGTTCCACTGGCAAATCTTGTTTTAAGGCAGTCAAAATGTGCTCAAATTTAGATACATTTAGCCAAATTGTAGCATTTTTTTGTCTTTAATTCTGTCATCTTTTGCAGTGTAGCCGCAGCCTCCTTAGACGACCTTTTACAGGTATAAATCCTCCATCTTTCTCGTTCACTGGTTATGTCTGAGTGCATATCATCACCGTATTGTGCAGCTGAACCAGTGCAATGTGTTTTCTGCCATCTCCCAATGTCACCACACCCCACCCCCCCCAACACCACACGGACCCCAACTCTCCCACTCGTCACCACTTCATCACTTTCGCTGGCATGATCTCAGTCGTTTGTCCGTGCGCTGAGTCAGGCTTTGTGAAAGAACAGCTATTTCACGCTCGGCAGTGGGTGGCTGTCTTCAAAGGAAAAGCAATAGGCTCAAACTGTCACCACACCTTTCCTTCCGCTGCACGAGGAGAATGTAGGTCTTTGCTTTGCCTACAGCCATCAGCAACAATCAGTTCTGCCCCAGTTACTGACGCGGCTCACCCACTGACGGGGGCACCCACTGACTGGAGCTCCTCTTACGTCAGCGAGGACCGGAGACATGAGCGCGAATGCCCCCACAAACTGAGGTGTCGGGGAGCCAAGCATGGTGCTGCCGGTCGCCATGGTCACAACCAGGCATTGGGTTTTCTATTGGGGTGGGCCGTGGCACGTTGGTGTGCCTTAAGATGTTTGTTTGTGTGCCTTGGAAATAGTCCAGTATCACCTGCTTGGTCAAAATCATGTGAAAAGAAAATGATGCGACTTGATTTGAAAGATCTTTTAGTGTGTTTGCTTTGCTATATCACACACATTGACGGGAATTACTTTTCTGTGTAAATAAAGGCTAGAGTTTCAATTTTGTATGGAATTCAGTTGGTGGCGTGCCTTTTAATTTTATGCAATGACAAAGGTGTGCCACGTCTCAAAAAGGTTGGGGACCTCTGCTCTATTGTATCTGCTGTGGTGGTGAGGTAATGGTGCACTGGAAATCTGCCATGGGATTTTGTTTGGAAAAATTGATAATATTGGGAGGGAGGTTTTCTGGGCACGTCCCACCGGGAGGAGACCCCAGGGAAGACCCAGGACACACTAGAGGGACTATATTTCTCAGCTGGCCTGGGAACGCCTTGGGGTCCCTCTGGATGAGCTGGAGGAAGTGTGTGTGAACAGGGAAGTCTGGGCATCTTTACTTAGACTGCTGCCCCCACGACCCGGCAACGGATGAGGCGGAACGACCCAACATATTGAGAGAGGACAGACAGGCTGTAGATCAAAGGCTATAGACATGGTTACTCAGGCTGTAGAACGAGGACTAAGGCTTTTCAAAGAAGGTCCTGCGTTGATTTCATATTCATATGGAGCCTTTCATGTAGGTATGAATATAGTAGTAATCTTTATTTATATACCGCCTTTTCACTGCAGATCTGAGTCTCAAAGCGGTTTACAATTGTTAATTATGGGCATTTGTCTCTCACTCCACACAGAGATGGGAGCGGGTTCGCCAGTACAGGAGGCGCATGCCAGACCTATTGGACATATTTTTAGTGGTAGGGGAAACCGGAGTACCCGGAGGAAACCTACGCAGACACGGGGAGAACATGCAAACTCCACTCAGGCTTCTCACTTCTGTCCTCGCTGTGAATGAAGTGAATGCAAATTACGCATTCTGGATATTAAAGTTGTGTGACCTTGGTCTGTAAAATGCAGTATAGATCTATGACCAGTTGTTATTACCTTGAGTAGGTGCGGTTATTGAGCAATCGTGTTAGCCTAAATGACACTAGTGTGTTGCCTGCAGGTTTGTGGATGAATTACGTCACACAACAGCCCAAACTCTAGTCATAAAAAGTGGCCGGTTTTCTTGCTTTTGTAAAAATAGTTTGTACAACCAACAACACGTAGCCCAATAATCTGTCTTGATTTGACTGCATGACTGTTTTTGTAACACTATACCTGTAAAAAGGATCAATTTACACTTGCGAAAGTGAGATTTATACAATAGTTAGAAAAGTGGTGGGAAGCAGTTTAGTCTATAACGTTGCTACCACCACAGATCAAAATTTTAATGGGATCTTCCTGTACCATCACATCATCCAATAGGCAAGGCAAGGCGGTTTTTTGCATCTTGTTTGCAGACACACACACACACACACACACACACACACACACACGCACACGCACACACAGACACACACAGATTGATATATATCGAAGCTGCTTCAGTGTTTCCTTCTGTAACGAACTGACCCGACATTGTACTTTTCAAACACCACACTATGACTTTTTGCACTTCTGTTGTTCTTTTGCTCCAAGAGTCATTTAAACATCACACATTCTGTTTCCTGTTAATAAACCTGGTAATAACTTAAACGCTAGCTCTTTATACTATGCTAATTATGTCAAATATATGCAAACCTCAATAGCGCTCGTTCAGCTGTGACACTACCTGCTTTCTTTTTGTCTCTTATTTCTCAAATCACTTGCTTTTGCGCTTTTTTAAACATCATTCACTACATATTTGTTTTGTGGGTACCTTTTTGCATTGGAAGTCCACACAAAGCACTGTAGAAGATGGATTACTTACTGTATATTCTGCTTGAAAACATAACACTTATTGATAATCTAATCATTTTAACCCAGGGACCTCCAACCTTTTGCCCTCCGGAGAGCTACTTTTTTGGGGCAAAAGTGGCAGTGAGCTCCAACTTTAGACAGTAGAAAGAAATTCAAAATATGTGTGTGCTAAAATGAATGAACAAGTTAGAATCTTGATTTGGATATTTGCAATCTAGTCTTATACCCATAAAATTCAAGATTCAAGAATTTGTTTGCCATTTACAGTAAAACCACATTGGAAAAACTGTACAAGACTACCCCAGTGTGCACCATAAAACAATCTATCATGTGTTAGCGCTCAGAGATAAAGTAGGGATATGGTATGGTTTTAATCATCCCTCTGGGGTTGTGTGCTGATAGCTCCCGGGCTAAAGGTTGAACACCCCTGTTTTAACCTATTTGTAACTTTCCATTTTATAGGTATTATTCATCATAAGCAATTTTTTGTTGTCATTTCCCGCAGACGACAGAAGCAGATCTCCCCGATCCAGACCAGACTTTATGAATGGCACCTTTCAACTTGGCCTGACAGTGTTTGGAATGCATCACGACGCCTTGTCCGATGGATTTGGAAACCTGCTCGGAATCTGCCACTCTCCCAGACACAGCTGTTAATACACCCCTCTTTTGAAGCATATTTACCATCAACAAGATCATTTTCAGCAAGAACCCTGTGAGAAACACCAAGACGTATCATTGTCTAGACTTGTCCGTGACCGGTTTTTGCCGCACATTGAGAGGGCAAAGTATATGAACCTAACACACAGGAAGGGTGTGAGGTTAATACAAGGAGCTAACAGGTTACTTGATATGCAATGCTTCTTCTCAAGGTCACGCGAGAAGAGCAGCAGACTCAAATAAACAGACACATGGGGAGTGCAGGTGGCATTCGTATGTTTGTAGTTCTATGGAGATCCTTTGGAGCTGCCGGACGGGCCCAGACAGGAGGGATTCAGAGAGGAAAGACATCATTTTTGCCACTATCGGTTAAATTGCATGATTGATGTGGCTGTTTCAAGTGTAATATTTTCAGTATTGTCAAGCTGAAGCCAGGATATAGGTTTATTTTGTCCAACCGCTTCAATAATATGCTACAAACAAAATACCCAGATTATTAGTGGGATTGTGAAAGGGTCGTCACCCGCAGGAGGATCAGCGAAGTATTGTGCAGCTCTGATTGTCTTCTGCCCTAACCCAGAAATGGATTAATAAAGGGGTAGAAAATGAATAAATGAATGAATGAAAGGGTTTCCTCAAGCAGTTAAAACTGGAGTACCTAACTTTTAAACACAACAAAATGGCTAACCATAATCCATGGTGTGAATTAAAAGATAAAATAAGATAAGAGTGCCTTTATTGATCTCACACAGGAGAAATTTACATCTGGCATGGATAGAATCACTCAAGATTGTGCAAAAGAAAGAAATGTGCAAACATGTTAAATGCAGGATATATCATGTATAGAAAATGGCAAATAAAAAACAGTGTCAATAGTAGTGCAGGTTTTTCAGTCCTAATGCAAGTGACTTATTGTACAGTCTGACATCAGAATAAAGCCAGAATGGTGTGCTGAGTTACCCACTTCAGATGTAATGAAACCTTAATGAAATGCTTTGAAATGATGCTCTTTCTGATTCCTAAATGAGACATGTGGCGTGGCAGTAAGGTAATAAAAGTCTCTTGTCCTGCCCTCAGCTGTCTTATTTCCCAGAACGTATGTCCATCTGTGAGCCCGAGAATATCCAAGACTCTGCCCTCTGCCCTTGTGCTCATCATTTAGGACACGTACAGCGTCAGGTTACGGCTCAGCCTGCACAGAACATACATCATCTTTCATAAAATCATATTTGCATTCACTGTTGATTGAAAAGAAAGACACCGACATGATCCACATTCTGTAGAGCTCTTCACCGGTCTTCCAGGGCTTTGAGGAGTGGAAGCCCGAGTGTGATGTGGTTAAAAGTCCATGGGACATGTCATCTCCTGCGGTTACATGTGTGTCTGATGAGTGTGCCACTTGGACCGTGCTTACGACCGTGTGACAGCGGCTCGCGGTTGCCCAGCCTCCTTTTTGACTCACTTCATGGATCGTATTACTGGCTGCTTTCCCTGCACCGTGAGCCCACCGCCTCTGCGCCAATCACAGCCTGCCTTCAGCCCCGCGCACATGAGCGCGCACGGAGCCGGACAGACGCGCACTGCGATCCCCCTGCGCTGCGTTCACATAGCGGTGACTGCGCGTACCGCTGCTGCGCCAAGATGAGCGTGGTCGAACCGGTACCGTCTGCACGTCCCCGCTCCGCCTGACTGACCCAGAGATACAGCCCATCTCTGCCCACTGCAGCAGCCTCTGCCTCGGCATCTCCGCTCCGCTCGCTGCATCCTTGCCTTCCTCTCGGCCCAGCAGAAGATCCGGGACCGAGGGTTTTTTGGAATACGTTTTCCATTGAATTTTCCGGTGTGTTGGGAGCGCGCAGCCGGCGTGCATCTATAGTGGAGAATGGTGGATATGGCAAACATGGAGACCGTGGAAAAGGAATGTGGGGCCCTTGGGGGTCTGTTCCAGGCGATTGTCAACGACATGAAGGTAAATAACCGCCTCTGTCAAATGAATCATCTGCCACTGGGTTCAGAGTATTAGTACTGGGCCAAAATAGCAGCACAAGACGTGTGTCCTGCGAAGGCAACGCGTACGCGCGGCGTGTGCGTCTTCAGTCCATGTAGTGGTCTATTATAGCAGTAATGCGGTGGGACGGGGGTCTTGGTGTGATGTCCACGTTCTCCTCTTTCTCCGTGCACGACACCCTGCTCTCTGTCCAACATACCAACGCTCAGTTACTGCAGGTGCGTCGGTTCCCCACATTTAGCACAGACATATCTCTGATGTCATCATTAGTGCTGTTCTGACAGTGGCCCCTCAGATACACATGTAAACCTAGCGATCAGCGGGTGTAAGGTGACTCATTCACAACCCCCGTCTCCTCTGTGGCCATTGTAACACAACAGAAGTCAGTCTACATGCGATGGGCATTCCGTTAAATGGCCTGCTGCCTGCGGGGGAGCGGACCTGATGGAGATGTGTCGTCATCAGGATACTTGTCGCCATCATCCAGGGCTCGCATGTTGTGGACAAAGCTGCGTGTTCTGGACTCACGCATCTGTACCAAACCCTGCGCGGCTCCTGGAGAGTGCCGCGTCATTGATTTTGTGTCAGGCTGATCAGGCAGCAGCACATGAAGGCGTGAGAAGCGCGCAGCCGTCACACACAGCACCAGGGCATCCGTGCACCAGGGCATCAGGGCATCCGTGCATCCGTGCATCAGAGCATCAGGGCATCCGTGCATCCGTGCATCAGAGCATCAGGGCATCCGTGCATCAGAGCATCAGGGCATCAGTGCATCAGTGCATCAGGGCATCAGGGCATACATGTGCGTCTGCAGCGGTCACTCCGTCTGAGCCTTTGTCCGGCCATGGAGCTCAGTGCCTCTCTGCTGGTACCACCCATGCAGGACACAGCCAGGACATCAGGTCAACTGATGTGCAGAGTCACGGTAGAGACTCTATTGTTTCATGTAGGCTTTTCTTGTTCCTGGAAGACCACAGAAACACAAGTGGAACAAAAGGAAAAGATCCAGAATATGAAGGAATATTGTTGTTTAATTGATTTTTAGAGGTGCTAGAAATGTGAATTCTGCCCAATTTCAACATGACAACAGGCATGAACATCATCCATTTAGGGTGGTTGCTTAGCAACATGCGCACCTATGACACAGCACTGCTGCACAGACACATGTGAATGAGGAGCTCTGACTGTTCTCTGAGATCCTCACATGAAATAATATGGTACTTTCAGTTTTTGTGTTATTGTTTAAAGCAGGCTTTATAAGAATAGATTCATAGTGTGCTCCATCAGTAAAACTTAAACAGCTGCTGATCAAACCAGTGACACGGACAGAACTAGACCAGTGTTTTTCAATAGTGTGGCGTGGTACGACCGTGTGCTTTGAGGTTTTGTTTGGAGTGCTTTGGGGAAAAACTCCAATAATGTGAAAGGAAAATAACATGAGAAGATTCTAAAAACTTTTTTTTATTGATTTTCTATTTAACACAAGTTGATTAGAATGACTTTGCTTCAGCTGGTGGTGTGGTAGTTGGGGAACACTGGACTTCATGGACATTTCACAACTTAACTATTCACTAGTATTATGGTGATTAGTAAAGTTTTTTTACTTTGGATGTTCTTTTTTACACAACAATATGAGATACACGTGTGCGTTGTGGATAAGCCCAAACCAGTTCCAATCTTACTGTTTTTTGCCGATTGTGAGGCGATATCAGAAGACGCTGTCATTTGATTGAAAGGGAACTTTAGTCCGCACTTGTACATCGTGTTCACAAACGAAGGCCACTGCAGCGCTCAGCAGAGAAGTGTTGAAAAAAGCGCTTTCCCTTCCTCTTCCTCTGAGCCTCCTGCCTCTGTCTGCTCTGTCCTCTTCCTCTGACACTGGCCACACTTGTCACTCCTCTGCACCTGGAGCCTCTCTCTGCGTTGGCTAAATCTCCACAGTTTTAACTCAAAAACATCACATTTTACATTTGCCAAGCAATTATTAATATAGAAACAAATCTGTAAGTTTGGTCGTACGTTGAATATGCATGAGACAAACAAAATCATGTGCTTCTCTGATTCTTAGCTGTTGTATATCTGTGTCTCTCCCAGTTTTAAAAATAGACCTTCTCTTTGTGCATTGATCATTCTTCAGATTTTTGCAAATATCCTTATTATTAGTGATTGCTGATTTAGATTAACCCTCACATTTAAATGCAATCATCATTAATAAAGATGGCAAACTATGGTCTCAATTATATACTGGTTTTAACAGTTTCTCCTGTTATTGTCAATGATCTAATACAGGCATTTCCAACTCAGGCTCGTGGGCTAAATCCGGCCCACAAGACAGTTTCAATTATTATTATTATTATTAACTGGCAGCATTGGTGGTTATGGGCTGCCAAGGCATGTGAGAAAATAATTGTGTAACTGATCAGGTGTTCATTTTGGGGCCATAAAGATATATTTACCAGGACATGGGCATTGTTTGTTGGTCTGTTTAAAATGGGAACTTGAACTACATGTGATTTTTAACATGGTGTTTGTATGTCCACAAAAATCCACTTTAATCGTCTGTGTGTTTGCTCATGGTCTCTGTAAAGTCTTCCTTTCTGTTTTGTGTGTTTTATTGTTTTCAGCATTTACTCTACATATTATATATCTTACAGAATACTTGAATCTAATACTGTGCATTTAGGAGTTCTGTTCTTTCTGTTGAATTGCCAAACGGTATACAAGTGTGAAAACCCAATAAACAGAATGCTTAAAATTAAAAAAAAATAACTCATGTCACACAAAAGTCATGTCAAAACTCATTCCTTCTATTCTTTCGGCCCGCGACCAGTTCCTACTTTGTTTTTTGGGCCCCGACAAGAATGAGATGGACACCCCTGATCTAACATGCTTCTTCTTATTTCGGTTTTGTTCATTATTGTGTTTCTCTCCATCTCTCTCTCTCAGATGGAGCTATAACAGTAACAGTATTAAGGCTTAGACGGTTCTTTTAATGGGCTGATGCTCTCTGACTGCCACCCCCTCGACCCAGAAATGGATTAAGGGGAAGAACATGAATGGATTGATGGATGGATGGAGGTTCTTAAGCTAGTACGACTTAATTATATTTGTCAGAGGCGAAGGCGGAAACATGTCAGGTAATTAAGAAGTACTATCTATTGCTTTACTTTTTAAGCCTGAAACATGGGAAGACAAAATTAACAGTTACAGTCTTAGTTGGATAATGCTAAGGTTGGACTCGAGTATCTTTTTGCACAAACTTTCCCGGTTTTCTCTCGATATCATTTCACATGTGGTCCATCCCATTATTGATGCTGTATTTGGTGTTTCCCCATAAAAAGTGGAGCGGTCTGGACGAGCGGCGGACGTGTGAGTGCAGACAGCTGATGTGAACCCTGAGGCCACAGTCTGTGAACTTTACTGCATTATGCACTTAGAACAGACCAACACGGGTCAGCAGAGGCTAATGTGATGAAACGCTGAGGTCATGTTCACGGTCAGAGGCCTATATGCTCTGCTGCTGTACTCATGTCCTGGCTGGGTCTGGAGAGAGAAATGCTTGTCTGGTTATGAACGTTTTTTGTTTGTTTTCTTCTTCCCACTCCTTTTTTGAGCCAAACCCCTTTTTAGATAATTATGACAATATTTGTTGTTCAGATCCTCCCTGTTTCTTCTTTGATTTGTTTTTTCTCTTGTTGCCCGGGTACAGAGTGATATTTTTTATGGCTCAAAATATTCTATTCTTAAGTATTCTGATCTGTGTGCTCTTGAGTTTTGGGACACTTTAAGTTTGTGTGTGTGGTCAGATGTTGGCAGAGTGTAGTGTAATCAAGGGTTCCCATGGTTTTCAGGATGATATTATCAAAGTAAGCATCACAATAACCCATTTTACGTTTTGTTTGATAATTAAAACCCCCACACTGACAGTTTTTATCTGAAATAGTGAACTTCACTTGTATATTGCAAAGATTCTTTGTACTTTTTGTGACAAGTGCCAGGTCTGACTAACAGATATTTTGCTAATCCATTGATCTAGCAGTAGTTCTTTAAATATATTTGTATAAATATATTGTATCCAAATATTAAAAAGTAAAATCACAGCCAAATAAATATGTGTTGGAGTCTGTATACCGCGATGAATCAATCACAAAAATTGTCATGGTGAGGATTTTGATTTTTGTATTTGGTTTTATTTTGACATTAGTTCTCTGGTTTCATTTCAGTTTTACTTCACGTCCTGTTCCCCTGTTGATTGTCTGCCCCGCCCTGATGTGTTTCACCTGTGTCTGTGTCTATATGTACCCTGTGCTTCTCTCCCCTTGTTGCTGGTTCATTGTCATGTGAAGGTCTGTTCTGTTCTGTTCTGTTCCTCGTTGCTTTGTTTTTTACCTTGGACTTTATTTTATTAAATCTTTATTTTGGCATTCTGGCATTTGTCCTCACTCACCCCTCCCCGTGACAGAAATAGATGACTAGAATTGATGATTATTTAATAAAATGTGTTGCGCTGAGGTATAACACAAAAAATATGTACAATAGGTCTCCCATCTCTGTGTGGAGTGAGAAACAAATGCCCAAAATTAACAATTGTAAACCGCTTTGAGACTCAGATCTGCAGTGAAAAGTCGGTATATAAATAAAGATTACTACTACTTACTACTATAGCTTCTAATTCTCCTAAACCTCTGATCAAAATCTTAATCAAGATTTTTTGCCCAAACTCAGACCAGCCTCTGAATAATATATTCTTACACGTCTTCTGTGCAGCTCCAGTGAAATCCTCTAGATTTACTCACTTTTGCTTTCATTATGGGGCTTCAGCTTATTTACCTACCATCATTTCAGATACTGTTCTATAAAAGCAATCCTTGCATCTGTCTAGACCTGATGACCACTCAGAATGTTCCAAACAAGTAATTATTACCTAAAGAGAGGGAAGAGATCAGCCTTTCTAATCCCTAAGGTTGTCCACTTTACTGAATACGTAAACTTCAAATCTAAAATGCTGATAATGCGTATTCATTTGGACTTCCTGCTGGACCCGTCTCTTGGTCTGTCCCAGTTTTGCAATTCAAACACATCTGTTTTGCTTATTCACTGCTCACGACACAGATTTACACAGGATCTTGCACAAAGCATGGAGCACCTTTTATGTCTGTATGTTTCATGAATCAATATTTCATCCCGATTTACATGGGTCTGCTTTATTCTGGATTCTGTGCTCCCCCAAGAGCTCAGCAGCCGTTTATGGTAATGTTTGGTGAAATGCAAAACTAAGCATTTCTTTAATCTGCAGTGGAGGAAGACAAAGGCTTGATCACTGTTTTGCACAATGGACTTTTTCCACAAATATGACAGATTTGGGTTTATTTTCCCTGTGCGCGTAAGATGGCAACACAACATGGATGTGCTGCACCTCAAAGTACCATTTATTAAAACAAAAAGTCAAATGAATCAGAAAGAAGTCTATAACGCTCTAAACTTATTTTATATCACAGGATTAATCAATGATCCAAACTGTATAACCTAATAATACTTCTCTTGTGTTGGTGAGAGGCTGCATCCAAATACCAATAAAATACTTCCTTGTATCCTTGTCCACATTCTGCTCATGAGTTTATGAAGTTTATTTGATGTTAATTCATTTCTTCTGATGCATGCTGGGCTCTCTCTCCTAGAGGCCTGCTCTTACTGTTCCTTGATGTTATTGCCCAATTTGTATCTTCCTTGTCGTAGCAGCAAAGGAACTTACTGTATTTACGGTATTTGGATGAAAGGATAGTCTCAATTAGGGTCACTGCTTCACCAATCCATCAACCGATACCCAACAAAACAACCTTTCCTAGACCAATATACCCCTAAAACCAATTCCAAACAGCAGGGCATGTGTGAGAGTATAGTGCTCCGAAAGTGTATTTATTTCTAAAACAATACATTTACTGTACTTGAAAAAAGGCCGATAGGACATAACAGATAAATGGTGCAGAGAAGCCTCAGAGAAGCTCATCTCTATTGGGGACCAGGTGCATCCACATTCACAATGCAAATGGCCACTGTCCCCAATCCCAGGAACTAAAATACCTAATATTTAAATCTGCATCCATCTACATTAATTGAAGGAATAAGAAAAGATAAGGTAATATAGACTTTATTGATCTCACAATGAAGTATGTATAAGTGTATGTATCATGGGCCTCTTGGCTGCATCTCTGATCAGTCTTCTCCTTGTTTGAGATGAAAGTTTGGAGGGACGGCCGGTTCTTGGTAGATTTACAGTGGTCTGATACTCCTTCCATTTCAATATAATTGCTTGCACAGTGCTCCTTGAGATGTGTAAAGCTTGGGAAATCTTTTTGTATCCAAATCCGGCTTTAAACTTTTCCACAACAGTATCTCTGGGCGGCACGGTGGCTGAGTGGATAGCACTCTCGCCTCTCAGCAAGAAGGTCCTGGGTTCAAATCCCGGTCGGACCAGGGCCTTTCTGAGTGGAGTTTGCATGTTCTCCCCGTGTCTGCGTAGGTTTCCTCCGGGTACTCCGGTTTCCCCTACCACTAAAAATATGTCCAATAGTTCTGGCATGCGCCTCCTGTACTGGCGACCCCGCTCCCATCTCTGTGTGGAGTGAGAGACAAATGCCCATAATTAACAATTGTAAACCGCTTTGAGACTCAGATCTGCAGTGAAAAGGCGGTATATAAATAAAAACTTACTTACTTACTTACTATCTCGGACCTGCCTGGTGTGTTCCTTTGTCTTCATGGTTCTCTCTGCGCTTTTAACAGAACCCTGAGACTATCAAAGAGCAGGTGCATTTATACGGAGACTTGATTACACACAGGTGCATTCTATTTATCATCATCAGTCATTTAGGACAACATTGGATCATTCAAAGATCCTCACTGAACTTCTGGACTGAGTTTGCTGCACTGAAAGTAAAGGGGCCGAATAATATTGCACGCCCCACCTTTCAGTTTGTTATTTGTTAAAAAAGTTTAAATTATCCAATACATTTCGTTCCACTTCACGATTGTGTCCCACTTGTTGTTGATTCATGACAAAAAATAAAATTTTTATATCTTTATGTTTGAAGCCTGAAATGTGGCAAAATGTTGAAAGGTTCAAGGGGGCCGAATATTTTCGCAAGGCACTGTATAAATGATGACGATATTACCACAGTAAAGATCATATTTTCCTTTCACATTCACCAAGACTCAACTTCTGCCTTTAAGGAACAAAAGCTCATGCACCAGTGTTATCAAAGTTCTGCTGACACAACCTCTCTGTGGCTTCTCTGACTTTTGTGGATATTCTCCGTGAGGAATTGCACGGCTCGACATATTTGCGGTGCAGCCGGTGGATCATATTTGTTTCTTGTTAGCATTCGGGCTCAGTTTGGGGGCTCGCTCGGACCCCCGCTCTCTGAATGAATGGGGAGCAGTGGTCATTGTTGAACCGGGAGCTGGGCCAAGTGGGGTTCTGTCACTGTGGCCATTGTGAGGCCTGTCAGAGCCTTCTCATCACTGTACAACACTCATCATTATGAAGCGGCCACAAAGCACTGATGTGGCAAATCAATAAACTCTTGTTCGACTCCAAACACGAGCCACTGCAAGACTATTGAGTTCTGCTGAAGCTCGGGGACGGGGGCTTTGTTGTGGACATTGGACAACAAGGGATTGGCCTGGAATATATTTGAGAGTGTTGTTGTTATTCTTTGCTTATCAAGGAACAAGGGACGGACTCAGTAATGTTGGATTCATTCATGTGTGTTCTGTTTGTCATGCACTTTTAAGCCCTTTCGACAGGATGCGATTTGAAAACTAACTATTTTTCTCTTTCAAAACATTCTCTTCATTAAAACATACACACTACTATCAATAATTCTCACAGCAAAACTCTGCATAAATCTGGCTGATCTAAGATAAGAAAAGATAGTCCTTCATTTGTCCCAGAGAGGGGAAATTTCAAATCTATTATTTATTATATAATATATTATTTATATGATACAATTATTACATTAATTTAAATATATCGCTCCCTAGAAAAGCATAGGTCTTTTAAGGCTTATCCAGTCAAAAAGATATACAAGATCTGGACAATTATTTTAAGTATGGATTACATCAAATGAATAGTTTGTTTCAGCCATATTGGTAATCCTGGTCCTCTTTGATTTAAATGCTATCAACACATCCTCTTCAAGTTCAGACAACACTGCATTTATCCACTTTTCTTCACTGTCCAACTAAACTCACAGTTTATCCTGCTCTCGTAATTGCACAAATAGCTGGATAACTATACACTGCAAAAACTGGCTGACAAAACAAGAAAAGAACAGATACTACGAGCAAATGTTTCTGCCAATGAATCATGATTTTTGTTACTACTTTTGTTACTGTAAGATTTCTTGAAAAAATAATATAAAAATAATACAAATATTTTAAACAAATAATATTATATGAAGTATATTCAGCCTGCATGTGTAAAACAAGTCCAACAAACATTGTAATTAGTTAAATGCACTGAAATGAAGAGAATTACACTACACTTTTCACTTTTTGCAGTGTATCCTCAGCTGATTCTTTGATGCTTTAACACAATTGTCCTGAAAAGCCTAAATATAGCATGCACCGTGTATGATTCCATTTCCATTGAGAACATTTGGATCATGCGTGGTGATTCCCTACGGTGTCTTCAACTGGAATTTGGCTCCATATATTTTACAACCCTCTCAGTGCATTGGAACAACCACAACCATTGAAGCCCCTCTCTCCGTCTACCCCTCTGCCCCTCTCTCGGTCTGCCCCTCTCTCGGTCTGCCCCTCTCTCGGTCTGCCCCTCTCCCCGTCCGCCCCTCTCTCGGTCTGCCCCTCTCTCGGTCTGCCCCTCTCTCGGTCTGCCCCTCTCCCCGTCCGCCCCTCTCTCCGTCGCCCCCTCTCCGCCCGCCCCTCTCCCCGTCCGCCCCTCTCCCCGTCCGCCCCTCTCTCCGTCCGCCCCTCTCCCCGTCCGCCCCTCTCCCCATCCGCCCCCCGTCCGCCCCTCTCTCCGTCCGCCCCTCTCCCCATCCGCCCCCCGTCCGCCCCTCTCTCCGTCCGCCCCTCTCCCCGTCCGCCCCTCTCTCCGTCCGCCCCTCTCTCCGTCCGCCCCTCTCTCCGTCTACCCCTCTGCCCCTCTCTCCGTCCGCCCCTCTCCCTGTCCGCCCCTCTCCCCGTCCGTCCCCCGTCCGTCCGCCCCCGTCCGCCCCTCTCTCCGTCCGCCCCTCTCCCCGTCCGCCCCTCTCTCTGTCCGCCCCTCTCTCCGTTCGCCCCTCTCTCCGTCTGCCCCTCTCCCCGTCCCCCCCTCTCTCCGTCCGCCATTCTCTCCGTCCGCCCCTCTCTCCGTCCGCCCCTCTCCGTCCGCCCCTCTCTCCGTACGCCCCTCTCTCCGTCTGCCCCTCTCTCCGTCCGCCCCTCTCCCCGTCCGCTGCTCTCTCCGTCCGCCCCTCTCTCCGTCCCCCCCCTCTCCGTCCGCCCCCTCTCTCCGTCCCCCCCTCTCCGTCCGCCCCTCTCTCCGTCCCCCCCTCTCCGTCCGCCCCTCTCTCCGTCCGCCCCTCTCTCCGTCCGCCCCTCTCTCCGTCCCCCCCTCTCCGTCCGCCCCCTCTCCGTCCGCCCCTCTCTCCGTCCCCCTCTCTCCGTCCCCACCCCCTCTACGTCCGCCCCTCTCTCCGTCCGCCCCTATCTCCGTCCGCCCCTCTCTCCGTCCCCCCCTCTCCGTCCGCCCCTCTTTCCGTCCGCCCCTCTCTCCGTCCGCCCCTCTCTCCGTCCGCCCCTCTCTCCGTCCGCCCCTCTCTCCGTCCGCCCCTCTCTCCGTCCCCCCCCCTCCGTCCGCCCCTCTCTCCGTCACCCCCTCTCCGTCCGCCCCTCTCTCCGTCACCCCCTCTCCGTCCGCCCTTCTCTCCGTCCGCCCCCTCTCTCCGTCACCCCCTCTCCGTCCGCCCCTCTCTCCGTCACCCCCTCTCCGTCCGCCCCTCTCTCCGTCACCCCCTCTCCGTCCGCCCCTCTCTCCGTCCGCCCCCTCTCTCCGTCCGCCCCTCTCTCCGTCCGCCCCTATCTCCGTCCCCCCCTCTCCGTCCGCCCCTCTCTCCGTCCCCCCCCCTCCGTCCGCCCCTCTTTCCGTCCGCCCCTCTCTCCGTCCGCCCCTCTCTCCGTCCGCCCTTCTCTCCGTCCTCCCCTCTCTCCGTACGCCCCTCTCTCCGTACGCCCCTCTCTCCGTCCGCCCTTCTCTCCGTCTGCCCCTCTCTCCGTCTGCCCCTCTCTCCGTCCGCCCCTCTCTCCGGCCGCCCCTCTCTCCGTCCCCCCCTCTCCGTCCGCACCTCTCTCCGTCCGCCCCTCTCTCCGTACGCCCTTCTCTCCGTCTGCCCCTCTCTCCGTCTGCCCCTCTCTCCGTCTGGCCCTCTCTCCGTCTGCAGGTCAAGGGCCGTTATGTGCCTGGTTTATATTTGATGAAAACCCAAGTGCAGACACAGGTTCAGCATTAGTCAAAGCCCAACACCTCAAAGTGCTCAGGTCAGAGTTACAGATGTTCCTGGGGTCTCGCTCTCTTTCTCTCACAAGAAAAGGTCAAACTCATGGACGTACACCCGGCTTTATTACAACTCTGTGTGTGTAGTTAGTATCATGTTTTATTGTACTCAGTCTTCTTTCATCTTTGTCGTATTTTGTGATTCCACGCCTCACAGTATTGTTTGCAGAGGTCCTGAAGAGAATCTTCACAGTGAAATTGCGACTTAAAGGTGAAAGCCACATATGAAGCTAAGCAGAGCAGGGCCTGGTTAGTACTGGGATGGGATGTACAGTAAATGCCCAGCTCAATGTTTCTACATATTTTTTCCCGTGAGTAACAATTCATTTTTTTAAGTAGCTAAGTAAGAGTCGCTAACATGTTTTGGCATCTCTATACACCTATGATGGATTAAAACGTTTTCTTTAGCTTTCTGGTTTAAATGAACATGCTGTTGGTGTAGTGGTTCTTCTGGCACCCCCACCGCTGCTCCTCTGTGTGCATTGCTAATATTGTTGTTTTTAACTGGCCTCTTACAGTAGCTCTGTTGAATAGCCTTAAAAGTGCAATATGTTAAAAATCTGGCCAAAAGTGGTACTGCACTCTACCTGACTCATGTTGCCAGATATGCAGCCGACTCGAGCTAGGACCATAATATCTGAATAGACAAGAGTTTTGCCGACAACAAATCTATAAGCAACACCTTTTTCACAAAGGCCTCGACAGAAATAGTTATTTTTGTCCTTATTTTGTCATTAATAATGTTTGAATCATAACAGCGGCTACATGTTACTTTACCAGTGAGATTAGCTGGATGTGGTGAGTTCTGGCAACCCGGATCACGGACTTTCTGATCGATGAAACGGTGGAGGGCGGGCATCGAAATGAAAACAATTACAAGATTTACGCGCTGTAGAAGTAATTTTGAAATTGGAATATCTGTGAACCACTGTTATCAGTTACAGAAGTTTTCGAAAAGAGCCTGGTTTATTAATACTTTTTGACATATTAGGGCCATTTAATGATGACTTCACGTGAAAATCTAACATATTGCTGCTTTAAATAGTATTTGAATATTATGGTTAAGTAATGGGTCAGTCAAACAATATGATTTCCCATTGAGAGGAACAAGCCCGTCTGAAAAGGTCACTCCAAAACAGACGTGTAAAAATGTGTATCCGGAAACCTGATACTGGGCTATTGTCTGGACTTTTGTGACCTTGTCTTTGATGTTCAGATGATCATAAAATAAATACTTAATCATTTTGACAGCTTGTCCCCCAATAAATAGTGCAGCTGTCTCCTTTGTGAGCGGTGACTTCCATGTCCTCTGGGTCTCAAATTAACTCTCTCTTTTATTCTCTTTAAATCAATAAAACGAGCCGCTATCTTTCAGCCCAATGACGGTGGATTTTTGAAGGAAGTCTATCTGATGAAAACGAGGTTACAGATAAGATTGTGCACAGGAGAACTGAGTTGCTAAGTTTTATGCTAATGTGCAGGAAGGATATGCTAATAGCAGTGATGGGCAAGCTACTTGATTTGTGTAGTGAGCTAAGCTACAAGCTACTCTACAATAAATTCAGCTTCACTACACAGAAGCTACCACCCATACAAATGTAGCAAGCTAAGTTCCAAAATTCTGTCAAAAGTAGCTTGCTATATAGAAGCTATTTTCAATTAAACAAACTGCAGTTCATGCAATTTTATATTTTCCTGCATTAACATGTTTGCTCATTTCTTATTTTTTGCAACATTCTTGAGTGTTTTATCCATGCCAAATGTGACATGTACATTTCTCCTGTGTGAGATTAATAAAGCTTATCTTCTTATTTGAGATAAACTGTCAGTCAGATAAAGGTTAACATTTTGTAGATATTTATTGAACAATAGCCCAAAACACCAAAAACAACAAAGAGTAGGCATCTGAAAACATATTTCTTTTCGCTCATCTCGACTAGAGTGACGTACTTTTGGAGGTATGGCCACGGTACAACACTTTGAGGGTCCTTATCATGGTCCTCCTCCACCGCGGCGGCTCCTGGGCTCTCTGCCATGCTTTTGCTTCCCCCAGTAGCGCGCGCGCATGTGTGTGTGTGTGTGTGTGCGCGTACGTTCGTGTGTGTGTGTCGTTACCAAGCCCTGCGCATGCGCATCAGCATTCTGTCTTTCTATATGTTTGTTTTATGCTGCGGGAAAATGCTGTAATATATGAACATCAGAGATGTCCGTGAGAAAATAGCTTTGGCTACTTGAGCAATAATATAGCTTAGCTACAGAAAAGTTACTAGGTTTTGTAAATAGTGACGCTACTGTCAAGCTACTGAAAAATGTAGTTAAGCTAGTAGCGACGCTACTTGTAGCGACGCTACTGCCCATCACTGGCTAATAGTGCATTTTCTGCATTAATCCAGTCATGATATCTTCATTCAGTCAGAGTTCGCTTGTGGCGCTAACCTCATTTCTCAAAGAATTAATGTTGCTGTTTTTATGTTTTGGCGAGGGCCTTAATGAGCAGCTTGTGTTTGCTTAGCTTTTTCTACTAGCCACAGAGGGAATTTTACTGATTTTGGAATGAAATCTGGTGCACTGGTGATCGTATTAAAGATTTCTTACTCTCTAAAGGATTGTGCTTGTTTGAGCAAGTTTCCTTCATTTTGAGGATGGGGTTTCAAAGAATTAAAGATTTAATTATAGATGAAAGGTGAATATACTGTATATCTCTGGCATTTCCCGCCAAAATCAATGACATCAACAATTCAATAGAAATGTGCTTAAGCATGTCTTCATTGCCACTGTCTAAGGGTACGTACATACTGCATATTTCAGTAGTATTATTTTTGTTTTTACATAATCTTGAACACTGTAGATACCTGTCTCACATTTGAATAATGACTGAGATCGGAGCTACATAAATGTGAAACGCTGAACAAGATGGTTGCAGGTTTTACCCATTGACCGTAAATCTTAACCTATAGTCACGCATATCTCCGCCGTTGAAACTAATATGCCAGCACTTTTTTCCGGCATGAGTCCCATTCATTTAAAAAGTGCATTCTAAAGTTCAAAGCGGCTAAAGTAGACTGGTCAAAAAAAAAATACTCCACTCAGCATTGACACTTATGTGGAACGTAGCTTTGGGCCGAGAGCAAACTTTTGGACCATCCAGTAAAGCCATTTTCGAGAGGAAAGAAGGCGGCATACAAAAGCATTGGGTAATTCTCTTTCTGGGTACACCCCCACCGGCCCGGAGTGAGATTGCAAGCATGTGTCAGCGCATGTGCTCAGGGACCTTTTTGAGCCAGGACCCGCCCCCATTGGTTTTTACCTCTGGACTCATAACTGCATGGATAAACAACCCCTCATCAACAAAACATGCAGTAGAATGAATATATCAGGTTTATAGAGACAGTGAAAGCAGTGGTGAGAGGCTGATGGTGCACAGATTGACGGCCTCACATCCGTCACCACTGAGTCTGGAGTGAATAGCGGCTGGAGTGTATGGCTCTTTGAGGAAGAATGCGTTACACGTGCAAGACATTATTTCTTCATATGGAGCTAAAATGTCACAGATGCATTTTCTACACGACACGAACAGATGTACTTTGGTGCGAGGCCATGGAAAGGCTTTAGACTGGAGAATCTATTTTCGGGATCGTACTTCCTGGTTCTCTTCAGGTCTTGAGTTGCTGCAATTTGATTCAACTGCAGCTGTATTTGGAGAGTCCGATGAGCAGGTTTTTACAGTAGTCAAACCAACTGGAGACAAATGTATGAACAAGCATGGATAATAACCTTTGATTTTAAATGGTAAAAAAACGAATGTAATTTTTCTGAAGTGGCTGTTAAAGCTAAGATCAGAATCCGCTAATGCCCTCATATTTTTAACCCAACCTTAAACTTAAAGAGAGAGACTGAAACATGACTTCAGTTGTTTCAATGTTTGCGTGCCTCAGTCCTAGGCCTCATTCCACGTTCTACAGCCGGAGTCCTGGATCTCTAGCTTGTCCGTCTGTGGGAGCAGATTCCTCCTTCAGTGTGGGACTCCCAGAGGTTTCTCATTTTCTCCCACAAGAGGGTCTAAGGACAGTGGCGATGATCCAGGACACTCGACACTCAACTACATTTGTGGCCTTTCTCAACATTTATGGCCATTAGACATTTTCCCCTTGTGGACCAATGGCTCTATGTGTTTTTTATCATTGCATTTCCTGTGTTGGCGAGTTGACGGCGAGTAAAGTCCACCGAGATATCTACTGTTGTGATACAGGGCTATTGAAATTAGCCCTAAATTGAACTGAATAGAATGCATATTGAACAAATGGCCTTGTTTTCTTGGCATCCTGTTTCTGTCGTTCTTTTTTTTTTTACCGTAAAGGGCAATTAACTGCAGCTGTGTTTTTTTTATTGCACAATCCTTGTTCACTTACTGTAAGCCTAATCTTGCATCAGAATATCTTGTCCTTACCAGCGGACATGGGCGGTCATGTACTGTTGCTATCTTTATGCATATTATGTTTCGAGCGTGCCTTCAGTCTACTCCTGTCTCCTCTTCCTCCTCCTCACCCTGTGTTTGGATTGGAATGATCTCCTACTCTTCATCAATTATGCATCCATCCGTTCTCCAAATCTGCATGTGTGCTGCTGTGACAAACTCGGCAGTGCCCGGAGGTACTAGTCGCGTTCGTGTAGCGCTAAGTAATTGCGATTGTTACTATGGACATTCTTGCTAACAGAATTGATTGCTTCAAATGGGTTCCGACGTCAGCTGAATTTGTGGTGGGGGAGAAAAAAAAAAAAGGCTGCAAAGTCAGGCCTCCTCCTCCAGTCTGGGCATGCTGCTTTGTTTGTCAGCCATTAACAACACGGACGCGAAACACATCCTCGATCGATCCGGTAATGAATACAGTCACGTGATGGAGACGGAGGGAGATGAGGAAAG